ACAGCAGAGTTCACTGGGTGGCTACAGCCAAACAGAGATTAAAAATGAATGATTTATATGGGCAGGATTGATGGCTGCCCACCAGCAGAAAAATCAGACCAGTTCTTTTTTTCTGGCACAGAACATCAACTAGATTACCTTCTCTGTTGCAATAGTGTGGAGAGGCTAGATGCTGATCAGCTGTGTCCTCATTGAGGACTTCAGGCAGTACTCACCTAAGAATTACTACATGATGGAAGCAGAGCAGAACTGCAGGAGCTGAAGATGGGGAACCCTCCTTGGTTGTGAATTGACAGCCAAAAAGCATTTTGTATGCATTTTAGTCTATACCTTGTTCAGGCTTTAACTTTGTCTGGGTAATATAAGGACTGACGTCAAGGGAGGCTGTAGTTGCAGGGTCAAAAAGGGATTGATGAACCAGCCTCTGCAGATTTGTCTTGCAAGGGTAACAAAGTTGGGCTCCAGGTTTCAATTAGACAGGGCAGATCCAAGCAATCCTCCTTCAAGGCATTATGCCCACCCTGCAATCATCTCCTTCCCAGCTTCATGACCTTGAACTCCATCTCTTACCTTAGATGTCTCCTTGCTGCTTCCTCCTGGGTCTTTCTAGAGTGTCAAATGATTGCTTCCCCAGCAGTATATAAGAAGGTGAGGTCCCCAGTGTGAACTCTTGTCTTCTTCAGTCTTTAAACATGGGCCTGTTGGAAGCTCATCTCCAGTAGCTGAATGAGAGCAGAGCAAACAGTCCCATGTCTTCTGGCAACTTTCTCTCTGACCTAGGTCTGAAGTAGCTCTAAACTCTTTTGCAGAGTAGCAAGTGAACTTCTTCTGCAATGATGATACAACCACACTCTGGAAAACATACCATATATATCCAGCATGCAGAGTTTCCCTGGATATCATACCAAGATTATAGGGCCTCTCTCATCACCCCCATTTCAGTTGAGGTGGCTATGGCTTCTCATTGCACCACTGGTTGCAGAGAGAGAACATTCAGTCCCACAGAAAATCCAATGAAGTCTGAAGCATGTAGTGATCCACACTGATGCCTTTCAAGCCTTCAAAGCCCAGAGACACAGCTGCTGAATGAACAGCCATTTCACAACTCTGAAGGCAAGGATGGCCCACCACATGCAAAGCCTAGTGGCTGTTACTAGTTTGTATCATGATATTTGGGTTCTAAAATCTAATTTTTACTTGGGAAGATCTTTGGCATTTTCACAGTAGTGTTCTGAAAGGGGGGGGTAAAAAAATAAAAATCCAAACAAACTGATAATTATGATAAGATAATGAGACAAACTTCTATCTCTAAGATCTATGGGTATTTCTTCCAGCTTCTCAGTCAAACACTTATGCACTGAAGCTACAAAAGCATTTGAGGAAGTATCCTCTAAGGGTAGAGCACTGGACTTGGAGTCAGGAGACTGTTCCTGCAACTGACCTCTTGTGTGTCCTTGGGAAGTCACTTTGCCTCTCTGTGCCTTAGTCTGTACCTGTAAAATGGGAATAATAGTATTTCCTTTCCCTTGTAAATCAGTTTGAGATCTCAAGAAAATACCTTAAAACCCTGTTCTAAATGTAGCTAGAGGCGAGCAGTTTTCAATCCATTTTTCAATTCAGCTTAAGCAGTTTAGGGTTTTTTTAGGGTTCATTCAAACCCAAAGTCAATCTCAGGGTGTGGGGCACATGAACAAGTTATCACAAATTAAACTAAGATATGGGTTTTTTTGCATGTTACCTGCTCTGCAATAGCTGCCAATATGCATACTATTCCTAGCAGATAAAGGTTATTCATGACAGTATATTCCTCTGTCATCAAGGGCTAAACTACCACTGGCTTTAATTTACTGTAGGGTAACTTACCCACAATGGTAATAGAGGCAGTTACTGTGGGCCAGCTGCTGCACAGTTAACCCATGCCCCTTTTTACTTTGTAACCAGTCTGTGAGCCCATACCCCACAACAGTACAAACCTTTGCAAACAAACTTAAGAAAAAATATTCAAGACACCGGCAAATGTATTTAGCAGTTTAGGTGTGCAGTTCTACAGGCTCTGATTTACTAAGTAAATCAATAACCTATTGCAATTATTAATTTACCTAAAAGGCCGTAACAATAAGCTCTGAAAGCGCTTTAAGTTCTGTTTGGGACCAGTGCAGGGTTCTGTTCAGATACCAAGTGAAATCTGGCATGAACCATAGGAAAAGATTTTAAGAACAACAGAAAAAATGAGCAGGATTTTTATTCCACATATTGCTGTTTCTTTTTACCTACATTGAAGAAAAAGCAGAAAAAAGCTTAGCTGAAAAGGCTTAGCTGGACCCCTTTGGGTTTATCGTCAGTGTGGACTCGCATCCAACCTCCTAATGTTAGAGCTTGATTGAACAGTAACCTGAAGGCATTCATTTTTTCACTGCTCAGAGGAGCTATGACTGTCAGTCACTTATGAAATTTGATATTTTGAGGCTTTAAAGAAACCTAGATTAGTGGCCTAAAAGATCACAGTGTCTCCATTACAGCAAATTTTAAACTGTCAGGGAACTTCTTGATAACAGTGAGGGACTACTAAATTATTAGAACTCAAACATTCTTTCAAAGTAGTTACTACTCTGCTTGGAATCAATGAATAACTTACAGCATTTCTGAGGACACATTAAAAAAATCCCCTAATCGCACATAGAAATGTGACAAAATTAATAGAGAGCAACAGCTATAATCATCAATCATGTCTCTGAGGCCTGCAGAAATTGAGTTTTAGTTTTAGTGTTGGAGTGATGTTGTAGCTGTAGCCTAGGAAATATGCAAGAGGCAAGGATATTTTGGGGCTATATTTTATTGGAACAATTACATGGTTGGAAGAAATTTCCAACAAGCTGTGGAGCAAAAAATGCTTTTCTTGAGGAAGGTTACCCAAGGAGGAACACTCAAAAGCTTGTCTAAAATCTATTTCAACCCTGCAGTTGGTCTAATAAAAGATATCACCCCCCACAAAAAATATTCTTTAAGTCTTAATCCAGTTTCTTATGTAAAGTCACATAGATAAAGTCACAGTTGGCATTTTATTGGCACTCTCAACAAGCATGCCAAGATCAGAACGAGTTGTAGAATCTCAACTATTCAGTCACCTGGTAGGTGTAGTTTCTTCAACACTCAGGCTGAATAACAGCAGCTTGTAGTGCTGCTGCCCTCCACATTGCTCCTATAAGGATAAAACAGGGAGCAAGTTTCTATATATATATATATGGCACTATATTCTTCAAAAAAAGCTACAGTTCGTGTCAAACTAGTTGGCACGGCCACACCTAAAGGATTATTTCAAGAAACCTTCCTTACATTTTCCCTGACAAAAAAGGATATGCATGTGCATTACAACTTATTCTACTGTAAATGAAACAGCTTGATCATTAGAAATACCATAGCCCAGGACATTAACTTGAAGCAAGCCATTTTCAGTCCCTGTATAATATAAACACATATCCAATTATGGCAAACGACTCAAGCTGTTTGTTTCAGGACTTAACTTGGCCTACAAACCCTACAAGTTCCAGTAAACTGTGAAGCCATTTTGCATCCTACCACCAATAAATAAATAAATAATCTCAAACTGATTGAAAATAATCATTTTTATGCCCATGTTCCCTTTTATACTCAGCTTAGCCTAATGAAACAGGAAATGAAAAGAGAAGCAAATTGTTTGTTACAATAATTTTTTATTGTTATGACAGTGAGTTTCACTATATCAGTGTATATTTGAAATTGCCCTTTATCCACTCAAAAGGTAGCTTTATTTGTCCAGATGGATATGCATATATATATATCCCGATGTGTAAAACAGAAATTACACTATAGGGATTGCTCCTGAGGTAAGAATTTGGTCATATTTATATAATGTATTTATTAATGTTATGCGTACATGCACAAATAACTAGGACAGGGCCAAAATTATCTCCAGAAATAAGCACCCCAAATTTTAAAGAACTTCATGTCTGAAGCCAGATTTCATGGTTCAACCCTTATTTTTAGGGAAGTGTTGACATGATGAATCAAACTTTTGTCTTTTGGGGTTTATTTCTACAAAGAAGTCATATCATTAAGGCAAACAATCCAGATTACAGGGTTTTTACATTCTGCCTAAAAGCAATAATATAGAAAGTAGAATAAGCAATGCCCTAAAGTTAACTGTACATTTTCTTTAGCGTTCCAGAAGCCTGAAAACTGATTGCCCGGGATATCCAGACCAATGCCAATACATGTGTAGACGCGCGCAGTAATTTTAGTTACTCCACAGTAAATGTGCATGTGTAGACACACTCACTGAGCAGCAAAAAAATATATAACAGATGCGTCCTCTATTTGCAGAAGTAGAAATCAGATGGTGATGAGGAAAACAAATGGCAAGCTCTACATACTCAAAAACTCCTACGGTCTGTTGTATACAAACCATTCCTGTCTCTCAATGGGCAAAACCATCCTCAGTAATGAGAACTTCAGTTTTAATACCACAGTACAGATCAATGCAGCCCATGCATTAGTTCTGCCATTGACATCAATCAGAGACAGTTACATACAGAACAGATTTCTAAATATGCAGGGGAGATGCAGATTAGAGTGGAATCATTTGTCCATATTTTCTTATGAAAAACTAAGAATCCTGGATTGCTTTACGGATACAGCAGGCACAGCTGCTGGACATACTCCTTGTCTTTACTTCGCCACATATCTCGACTTCAAACTTGAGTACCCCTTCTGCTCCCTTCCTGAGGGCAGAATATCAAAGATAGTGATGGTTTCCTGACACAAACATGTAGAGACTAGGGGCGATGCCCTCAAATTCATTCTGACTTGTGATCTGAGCGGGTTTCAATGCCCAAGCCTAATGCTAGGTGACATTCAGTTTCTGAATCCTACTGAGGTGCTGCCTTTCAGCAGAGATGAAACACCAGGGTTATGACCACTTGTGAATGCTGACAACCTTCTGCTCATTTTTGAAACATTATAACTTTTGTGTTTCAGGCCAATACCAACTTGTACAATCTGTTCAAATTCCCCAGGTAACTGCAATTGGATGAGGTATTCATTTCTTTCTGGTCTGAACTACAGTGGTTGTTATGTGAACTCAAGCCTTTCTCACTTGGGAGTAGCTGCATTTTAGTACATTTTAGTGGATCTACTTCTAGGGTTTTGTTTCAATTTCAGTTCACATTTATAGCACACTTCAGAATGCTCAAGGATAAAGAACATGGTCTACGTGGCTGATGATTCTTATTAAATATGAAGTTGAGCCAGACAGGTGTAAGCTGCAAACTTACCACGTTCATGGGTGTTTTGCTGGGCAGTTTAACTTTTGAACCATTTCTAACATTAATATACTGCAATATTCAGGCTTCAAGCTGAATGCAGCATTGATCTTGGCACTGTAAACCACAGGGTGCTAGGCAGGTGAAGGTATCATTGCAGGATTAAGGACATAGGCTGTGGAGGTTAAAGATGAGTAGTGCATTAGCCCACTACATTACTGATCTCCTTGAGAAACAGTAACTTCACAGAACGTATCGGTGCAAGTTTTAAAGAACCAGCTCTATACAATGGTATGTCATGGTTACTAATGTAACCATGCTGCTTTTGGCAGAATAAGCAGAAGTATGAGATATGTGTGTCTTATGAACACAAATGAATCAGAAATTACTGGTACCCTGAAACTTTATTTAGAACCCTGTTCCGAAGCGACCTCTTTAATTTTGGAAAGTGGTCATAGCTTCTGTTGGGCTAACAGATGAAGAAACCTAAGCGGGCCTCTGTTTTAAAAAAAAAAAAGTCTTTGGTGAATAAATTGTTCATTAACAGATAATAGTGGAAGAAGGTGGAGACTACATACTTCCAAACAGGAGAAGATTATGGGGAGAGGGGAACTGTCTCCACAGCACTATCTCCATTCACAGTGGAGGGAAAGGGGGAAGAAATGAAGATGTAGAATACAAGGATAGGAGTACAAGTATGTATGGAGTAAAGATAGTACATACACCAAGCCGTATGTAAAAGGTGTGTGTGTAACGTTAAGAGAAAGAGACCTGAAAAAAAGCCCTTACTTTTCTACCATGCCTCTATGAAACCAAGGGGTCTCAGAACTTAATTCTCTGAATGGTTCATTCATCCTGTCTGAAGTCTCTCTTTCTAGGGCCTACCTATAGACTCAGCCTTCCTTAATAACTAGGTTTCTGAAAAGCAGATGTCAAAAATCACACAGGGTTGGAAGCAAGTTAGTGGGAAGGGAGTGGAAATCAGTCCATTTTCCTCTTTAGTTAAGACTTGGAGGTTCATTTGTAGTGTATGCCCGACAGTTTCTGAGTAATAAGCATTGTGCAACCGAGGTTTAGGATACTGCAAAGATTTTAACCACACTATTTAATTAAGCACATATCTCAGCACCTGTGCAACTTTTTGAAGTACCTTTTTGACTGTTTCTCTTCCTCCCTGTGGTCAAAATATTCCTATTAACTGTGTCATATTTTGAGTATATTCTCATTATATTAACTGGCACTTAAAAAAAAATTAAAAGGAATCCTATAGAAGCACTTTAAATTGCTTTATGAAAGTGAAGTAAGTCACCCAGAGAAAACATTCTATTCTCAGTCTACCTTCACAGGAACATTTGAACTAAAATGGACACATTTCATGACACATTTTCATTCTTTGAAGATGGAGGGTAAATGTTACTCAATTTATTTTCAAAATCCATGGGCTGCTGTATTTTTATTCATATGTAGTGTCCTGTGCTGACATTGCAAAAACTGTACATCACAGAAAAGAACATCAGAAAATGGATTACTATTTAAAATCCATGTTCTGCTGTCGCCTTTCAATACATAGTGTACTCTGTGTGTCTATCTAAAATGTCTACTACCGTTCCATGTAACCTAAAAATGGAAACAATACAAAGCAAATGGTTCAAACATTGGGGACTTGTCCCTCAAGTATCAGTGCACAAAGGTAGAAATCAGCAAGAACAGAATATACTCAAATACTACAATGCAACTCATTGTCAATTGCCTTGCCTGTGTTCAGCGAGTTGCAGCAGGTGTCACAAAAAGCAAATCATTCATGTGCCATCTTATGTCATGCCAAACATGATCCAGTTTCTAACTGCAGTCTTTTGCTCACAGGACTAGGAACCAATGCAAACCAATTTCTGAAACTGCCCCATCTCTGTGAAAGTACAGTTGGTTGCTGTTACATCTTATGAGATAACATTTTGTTTCTCCTTCTTCTTAACATCTGTTATTTTATTTTGATGCAGTGCACAAGGACACTGTGTCTAGGACAAATGTGCTACCTTTTAAGCATCGGCATTCTACTCCTTAGCTGTGAACCCTAACCTGCAGATTTAATTCCGATAAACAGTTCTTAGTGTGTCAATAGCCTTCTGCTTATATGTTTGAAGATTCGAAACTGAATGGTGAGGTGGCCAAGGCGGCGCTGGCAAATGAAGACTGTCCCCACATAGACCAGGCTATAACGCCTGATGAGGGCCTGCCCTTTACCCGCTCTGGCACTCGGGAGAGATATGGACCCTGCTTCCTCTTATCAACCGGGGAATATCCCTGCCCGCCTGATGGAGGAATAAGAAAGGGTATGTAGCTGAGGTCCTGTAACCACTTAGCTAGTGACCTAGTTAAAAAGAAATTGATAGAGAAAATCATCAACTAGTTATCATGGAGTAGTGGGCTTGTTTTAAATATGTGCATCTGGAACTAAACTTAACAATCTGATGTCTGCATTTTGAGTTTCTAACATATTTCTTTTGGAAGGGAAAGCCTGATATGATGTGGCTACTGAGTATGATGGCTACACAGTTTAGTCTTCTATGTTAGCTGATTCAGTGTGCTTCAACAAATATTCTGCAAAGTCCTTAAACTGTTCCATCCTCATAAGAGGAATCCATTTATATTGCCTGTCTGGAAGAGTCATAGAGTGTACTGGGTTGTGTGTGTCAGAAACCTGGAGGTGGCAGCCCCCCAACCCCCTATAACCTCCCCACCCTGCCAAGAAAACCCAAGACTCACAGTGATTATTCGGACTATTTCGCTACCTTCATGCAGCACTTAAGTTAATTAGTTTGTCATGCCTAGCTATGTTACTGTAGAGAGCAAGAGAGGATTTCATATCAGAATGTGTTAACATTGGCTTCTTTTAGGTCAACACAGTGATCTACCTAAAATCAGTTTCTTTTCATTAACTTACATTTACCACAATTCGTTTTTAAACTTCTGACTGCTACAGATCTTCCAGAAGGAATTCAATTTTGTCTTGAGAGTGGTAATCCTTGTAGTCAATAATTCCAGGTCCCAAACAAAATACAACTTCCTGTATTTGTTTTATGACAGATTGCATGGTTTAATGTGTAGTTTAATCCAGGAAAACCAAGCAAACAAAAAATGCAGATATCGTTCAATACACAAGATTTCAACTGCGTATGTGCATAAAAATGAATCAGGAGTGGGGAATTTTGATGGGTTATATATATAATAGAATCAGTGTTAATCACTGGTGTACTGTATATAGCATATAATATATTCAGTATTTAAAAAAATGCAAAAGATTGTATGATGTAAACCATACCATGGGTATGGATTAGAATTCCCATGTGCCATTGTATGATGGGCAACAGTATATAATAACTGCCAGTTATAGTGTATGTAATTATAAGTTCTAGGCTTATCATTAACAAAGATAGAGTTGGACCACAACACTTTCATGTGAAAGTATCTCTGCTAAAATTTACCTTTGTAGCAAAGTGTTTTACCTGATTCTGTACTGGATAAGTACTGGCCACTTACATTCAGTCAGAGCCAGTTTTCACTGCCTCAGTGAATCAGGAGAATGGGCCAAATGGCATATCTTCTGGTAGAAGGAATGTATAGTTCTCCTGATGCACCACAGCTGAAAACTGAGCCTGTCTGCTGAATGAGAGAGAGGCTGGTTGGCTAAAGAGTAATAAATGTCAGCATATTGTTGGCCTGTTGGAAACACGTTGAGAGCATCTTAATTGTTGTTCCAACTGAACTTCATCCATAGTTTGTGCAACTATGTGTACACTTGCCAAGCTGTTTTGTGCATGTTGGAAAAAGGAAGGGAGGGGGCGGGGAAACTGAATGCATGCAATCTATTTTTTTAGAAAGCTGTGAGCAAATGAGTAGTATCTCTATGGCAACAGAATAAATTCTTTTTTAAGTTACAAGTGAGCTTAATTTTTGCATAAGATCCAAATACATGAGGCTAGAGGAGACAGGGGAAGGAAGCGGAATTTAGCGTCCACTGAAAATAATTCCCTCCAGTGAATATTTTTTGCCCTCACTGCAGTGAGCTAGAATGATAGCCTTGCCTATGCTATAATATAGTCTGCACATCCTTTGCTTCCCACACCACACAACCCTTTACCTGTTCTTAGATGGCCTTCTACATCATGTTGCAAGCGATACTACTCTCAGCATGTCACTGCATGCAGATGCTATTGAACTGGCTACAATGTTGACCTCATTCTTAGTCCATTCTGTTGTTGATCCAATGCTGTACTTTGCATTTTTCTTTTAAATGAAGGTTATGAAATGTCACGGAGCCTTAACAGCATAGCTGGCATAAGTGGAAAAGCGATAGGATTATCCTCAGTGTCTGCGCCCTACAGCTCTCCTAGTCCAATGAGACGTTCTTGGTCTCCCATCCCATCTATTTTGTAGCATGGATCAGTAGCAGAGAATGGTCTAAAAAGCTTTATTTCCAATTAGCCTATGCTACGCTGCATATAACCCAGGTGACTAAGTCTGAAGATGTCATGTCTCACAGTAGCACCTCATCAGCCTGGTGTTACTACTGACATTAGGTGACAACACCCTTAAATAGTATTAAGATGACAACAGGTGGGCATTAAATAGCACTGGTGGGCCATATGCTGCATGATATTGATACACAGGATGAAAGGTGGGTGCACCAGGTAGTTTCTTTAACGGTGCACCATGCTAGTATGCGCTTACCTTGGCTACATGGTGGATCCACTGGCTCTTACGAAATGGGTTAGGCATTTAGTCGATGCTGAAATGTGCCAACGATCGAAGATTTTGCTTTTCTCAGGATATTTTTGAGCCATAGGAACCCTGCAGGAGTTTGAGCAAGCGAGCACAGTAGGATGAAACTTTGCATGGGCACCTATTATAAGCTGAAAGCAATACTAAGACGCACTATAGGGAGGTCTCAGTCTGGCTGACTGCATGGAAAAAAAATCCTGTTGAAGAAGAATATGGCTGCCTCTGCATGTAGCTATTCTACCTTTTCCTCCTTCCTTTAAAACTAAAATGCCAAGCTTGATTTGAAAAGCACAGGAAAGAAGCTCAAGTATTGATTGTATTCTTTACATGCAGATCTTTGCAAAGAAAGTCCTGTCATTGCTAAATATATGCCAACAGAGGCAGTCAGAGTGACTTGACAAGGAGAGATGGAGATGAACATTGATGGCTAATAAGCATCTGTGTGGAACTGTTCAGGCATGGAAGATCTCCTCATTTGGACAAAGTAAACTCGCTCCATGCAGGTTTTATGGATGATTCTACATGGTTTTGGAGTTGTACTAGAGATGCAGGCTTTTTCTACGGCCAAAATGTAACAAAACTGTAGAAGAATTTTTTTTTGTTTCATAGCATGAATTGCATGAAGTAAACAAAAAAACTGCAATTGTATGATTAACTTTAAGGAAAAACAGCAAAGTTATATATTTTCTTTCAAAGCTCTTTACTTTTACATACATTGTTGTAGCCAAAATGTAAAACATTATAAAACTGTACATTTCTTTGCTATGGATTGCTTCTTTTTTGTATACAAGATACAGAGTAATGGTTTTAAAAAGTGCAATCGGGCAGTCATCGGTCATATTGACCACGCCTTCATAACTCATCACACTGACATGGAAATCAAGAACTTTTAATCCAACTAGAATTGTGTAAATTTAAGAAATTCCTTTTTTCCTGTCTGTTTTTGTTGGCATGCTTGTGACACACAGGACCTTTCTTTGGACCTGACAGTAACAGCTGGTTTAGATTTAATTTCCAGCTCTGGTTATGTTGTATTTTATTGATGTATAGATCCAACGTGAAGACCCTTCAAAACAAATTGTTCATATTAAGTAATCAGTATGAATTTTAAACAAAAAGGTGTTATTTTAAAACTGGGACTTATAGTACAAAAATCAGGAGAATATTCAAATATAAACTTGTCTCAAAGTTTAAGAAACAAGATGACAGCATTGTATGCAATTTAGTACTTCTGAGTAAAATGCATGCAAAATGTTATGCAAAACAATTCTAGCATGAAATAAATTTTGTATCATGGTTTCAGTGCCTGCTGTAGAGTGTATAGCAGAATTCCTTTCTGAAGTCGATCAGGAACTTCAGAGACCTGCTTCTGAAATCTTGAATAAATACAGTGTTCGCAACAGAAATGTAAGCGAGAAGGTTGGTATTGGTTTGGTTCTGAAATGCTAATGTTGGTCAACTGATTTTGAATGAAGCCTGCAAACACTTGATACAAACAATGTCTGACACATCCACAGTGCTAATAAATTTAAGAAGGGAAAGTAAAAAGCCTAGAATCATTTAGGTATCTTTTCATCTCTTTCCCTGCTTCCCATAATAAAAGTTTCCTTTTTAGTTGATAAAAATGAATTCAGTTTTCCTTACTTTTTTGGACGTGTCAACTTATTCTTCACTGAGCCACAGCAATCCACTTGCTCTGAAACTTGAAATGTAATCCAAAGCCAAGCTACTGTATGTGCCTGAATTATGTCTTAGCTGCCAGACATAAAGGGCAGCAGCTGGAATTCAGACATGCAATGACTCTGAGCTTCATTTCAATTTTACAGGCATAACATCTATGGATTATTTGTCAGGGCCACTCTAATAGCGTGGACATTTCTGGTAAAGTACTTCAAGGGTTTCTCTTTGCCATCGTATCAAACCGTTTAACAGACACGGCAGTATTCCAGCCAGAAAGCAAGGCATCTGGGACTGCTGATGGAAATGACAAAAGAAATAAAAGCGGAGAGGTCCTGAGGACTTATGAATAAAAAAAGGAAGCTACTACAATGGCTATTGTAATTATTACATAAACAGACACATACGCATGCACGTACCCACATACACCCAATGCCCTTGTTTCCTCAATAACTCTTCTCTCCCGGAAAAGGAAACGTAGGATGCTGCCATAAGAGCTATGATTTAGGAAGAAAATAAGGTTTAAGACTGACACCTGAACCAAGTCACAAAGCTTCTTCATCTTCTTTTGATTTTAGCATTATGTACTCAGCTCTACTTCAGTTGCTCTTCCTCACTCCCAGAGTAATTTTCCAGCTCTTTTTATGCCACTGTGGTCTCCATTGATAATATGCAATTTCTTATCTCTGGAATGCAAGCTAATCATGGGTCCAACCTTGCAGAACATAACTTTTTTTTCCAGAAATAGATTTATTTGCTATGCTTTTATATTAATTTAATAACAGTATTCAGAAACCTGGTATATAGTCTACTCACATCTCCTTATTACCATAAAATAATTAATACTGATTAACAATTCAATCCAAGAAATACCACACAGGTGCTCCCCTTCCCCTAATGCTCAGTTCAGATAAGAGCCTTCCCTTTAATTAACAGCTTGAGTACCTAAGCCCTAAGGTCATTGTCACTCTGTCCTACTTCGCCCAGTACCACATTTACTAAGCTAATATTGGGTTTTTCACTTTTATATATATCTTGGCTTATTGTTCTCTCTGCTCTGCAGTCACTGTGCTTGGCGGATGCTTTCACTAAACCTACTGAAATAGAGCTGCGTTTCCTACTCAGTGTCCTTCAGGAGACACTTTGAAGTGCAAGAGTCTCAGTGATTTCACAGTTCCTTTTGTGACAGACTGTGGTAATGACAGGCCTTGATCTCTCCCTGAGCAGCTCTGACGGCATAGCCAGCAGAAGCTGGGAGTTTCGAGATTTCCAGAAGCACCTATCTAAGTAAGCAGCAAAAACACCCAGCACAGAATCTCAGGGAAGGTGAAGGTGACCAGGTTATACCATTTATAGATATTACATATACTCCTATACATACCCATACACGCACACACATACACACGTGTGTGTATGTGTGTGTGCATGTGTGCACGCTTATGAAATAGGGAAACAGAAAGTCTGGTTTATATGTGTAGGTTGTGCTCCATTAAACACAATTACAGCATTTATGAATTAAAATCTACCTTCTTCGTAGTAGGCATGTATCAATAAAAAAACCCAGATACACTGGCCATGACTTTGATGTCACACTATTTGCAGATTGCTGCGAATCCACTGAAGTTATGTCTGATTGGGCATGTCTACACAACACACTACTGTGCAGTCATTACTGTACATCTATTTAGTACTTGTATTAGCAAGTACTAAAATGTGCAGTAACCAAAGTTACTGTGCAGTAGTGCCGGCAAACAAGGTGACACTACTGCGCATTAGCCTAAAAATACTGCACGGTAGTGTATTAGCAATGTCCATGCTGTGACACAATACCGATACTGTGCAGTCAGCATCTTGTGCAGACGTGCCCATTTGATATCAGTTAAGATATCTCAGAATCAAGCTTATTATTTTCATTGTATTCTTGACCCTCTAAGAATCCTTCTATGCCGCTGGAAATGAACATTTACATCTTAGCTTTATTCCACAAAGGTCTGTCTATCTGATCCCCATCACTGTAGTATGTCAGAGGCCTGCAGAATTACTGTAATTTTTATAAAACAGTACTGTGACTGAAGAGAAGATCAATCAAGAACATTGAGAGAATCCTTGTATGTGCAAAGATACTGCTCATATCTTTTAAATATTAATAGAAATTACGTTATTTTCCATGGACCCACATGGCACTGGATAAATGACATACAGACTCTAAAACTGCTATTTTAGATGGCAAGAAACTGGAAACTGGTTTCTATTCTTCCACTTTAAAAAGAAATCTAGCTAATGACCCTGTGATAACAGTCAAGTGTAATGGTCATTAATCAGGACAAAATGATTTTTCACAGAAATTGCCTTCTTTAAAGTTTCAGAGCCCAAAAGAAAATATATCACTGAAACAAATGGCTATTGGAACAAATGAGCAGACTAAAATGCCAAAGGAGAAAGAGCAAAGATAAAGCAAGGAAGCTGAGCTCAGCTGAGCACTGAAACACATATGAGGAAGGTACCTTGAGGCAAAAAAGAATGGCTGTTCTATTTCCCTGCATAGCAATGGCTCTCCTCAGCTTTAAAGCAAAGCAGCAGGTCATTTCATTTATCCATAAACACTGCAGAGATAGCTTTGTCTCCAGTCTTGCACACTGGCAGAACTCTGAATGCCTAAATTTATGCAGATTGCCTTTGAATCCCTGTTACTTAAGATAACAAGAAATCACGTATCTTTTCATCCTCTTATACTAGTCTTTCAGTTTTTCTTTATCCCAAGAACTAGATGCAGCATTTGTTCTGAATGTGAGTGCCCTTAATGATCATAGGTTAAAAACAAATTCAATTAACTGTTTGCAACTTAAACAAGGTTAAAAATATATAAAAAAGCATGCATCACTCCTCTTTACTCCTCCTGCAGTAAGTTTACACAAACACCTTGAAATTATAGGAGGGAATATCATGAAGCCAATTGGGCTGTACGAAGCTTTGGTCACTGATTCAATTCGACAGAGATTTGGCCTGATTTGGTGGCTGAATCTCTGAATCTGAATCAACTCAGGAGACCCTTTAATCTCTCTGAATTGAATTGGAACCCTCCGAAGTGACTCGGAAAGATTCAGCAATTCAGACATAGACACAGTTTTAAATGTTTTTTCTACATACCTCAAAGTACCAGGTGGCTTGTGAATGCTGCAATGCTGGGGCAGGTGGAGCATCCCACAGGAGTGCGGCGGGCTCCCCAGCACACTCGGCAACAGACCCGGAAATGAACCTGAAGCACTTCTGGTCCACTTCCAGGTCTGCTGGGGGGCACGTCAGGGCCCCCCCCACACCCCCCAGCCCAGCGACTGGTGCCTCCTGGGTCTGGGGGGCACCTGGGGTCCCCCTGCAGCCAACTGCTGAGCCAGGGGGTGTGAGGGAGCCCCCCATGCGCTCTCCAGTGGACCCAGAAGTGGACCGTAAGTACTTTCGATCTACTTCTGGATTTGATGCTGAGCACACGGGGGGGCCTCCTGCACTCCTGTGGGATGCTCCATCTGCCCCAGCATTGTAGGATTCACAAGCCACACCTGGTACCTTGAGGTATGTAGAAAAAACATTTAAAACTGTGTCTATGGCTGAATTGCTGATTCTCTGAATCAGCATCGAATCTTCAGATTTGGATTTGTTCGAATCGAATTGGGGACTGTGATCCGAATCAACAAATCAAATCACTGTTCCTAATTTGGGCTGAATCTGAATCCAAAAATCGAATAGGGCCTGTTTCGCACACCCCTAGAATCCAACATTTTCAGTGATAAGTTCCTGAGGCTCTATTTGTGTACCTGATCTGTACAGGCCACATCTTCAGCTCCCCTTCCCTCCCCCAATCCTCTAGTGGCTGGCACTCTGCACAAGGCAACACAGGGTCCCAGTATATCTATGGTTATGATCCTGTTTCAGAACAAGGCATATAAACATGATCTTACCTTTGAGTATTTTATTAAACCCACAGTAGCTTCATGTGGCTTTAAGCATGTGCCTAGGTACTTTCCTGAACTGTTTTTTTCCATTTGTTTGGGGTTTTTTGTTTGTTTTTTTAATAATGGAAAAGAGGAAACAGTGTGGCCATTTGACTAGAGCATTAGCCTGGGAGATAGAAGAATTGATATTTATTGCCATCCGTGCCACAGGCCTGCTGAATAACCTTAGGGAAATCACTTCAATGTTCTGTGCCTTTCCCCATCTGTAAAATGAAGATCACGATGCACTCTTATGATAAAGAAACAGGAACTTATATTATTATTGTTGTTATTTCTTCTCCGTATCCTCCCATCAATTATGGCTCAGCTATGGTTAAGAAACCCTCTCCTTACTGATTACTATAGCTAGCAATTGTCATGTCATTTGTAGGCTGCAGAATGCGACACCCTTTAAGGAATTCCTTCCCTCTTCATTTCAAAGCAGGAGATTGCTATTATGTAAAATTATTATGCACCCACATAGATGTCATGGCAGGCAGAGGGTGTTCATTATTGATCAGTAAATTCTTAACTGAGCTAGTTTAGGTGCCCCTGGGTGTTAAATTAGGAGCAAAAATACTGAAGCCAAATCATTTGTCATTAGCAGCACAGTGTATGAAATTTACAGAATAAAATGTCTGAGAGACCATGAAAAATTCTCAAGGATACAAGCAAAATTTCTGACATGACTATGACTAAGGTTTTCCAGGTGCAGGGAATGACATTTTTGTAAGCACTTAGAATCAGGCCCACAATTTCTAACGAAAGTACATAGGGCCTTTGTACACACCACAAAACTGGCCTTTAAAGTGGCTTAAATGCCCTTTTTCACAGCTTTAATGATATTCTGTAGTGTGCATACAGAAATATTGTGATTTACACTGTCGGCAGCATATTATGCTTTAATGGCACTGCTGTTTACACTCTCAGGAGTGTATTGCACTTTAAATGACTTTGGGATGTAGCAAAATAAAACACCCCCAGAGGTGTTTTAGTTTGCTACCTAACTACCTGCAACAGAGGGAAGCACCAGGCCCTGTGCAGCTCAGGGGCTTTGCAGGCAGCCTGGTGGCAGCCTGAGTAACCAGGCTCCACTGAAGGAAAAAAAAAAAGTAGCAAGCCTGATCTTTTTTTTTTCATCCCTGGAGCCCACCTGCCTGCCTGAGCTGTGCAGGGGCTCAGTGTTTCCTTTCGTGGCTGTGGGGGAGTGGGGGCAGTGCTTCCCTCCACAGCTGTGGTGCCCCTGGGACTGCCTGGGCCAGGTGCCACCTGGCGGGTGCCACCACCGCAGAGGGAAGTACCAACCCCTCCTGCCTTGCAGCTCAGAGACTGCTCGGCCTACTGGCAGCTTGCCTCACCCCTCCACGCCGAAAGGCAGTAAGGATTGGTCCTGACCCTTGTGTACATGCCACAGGGGTTTACTTATGGCACCTTTCTGCCTTCATTTATTCCAAAAGCTTGCTAAGAACTTTTTTCCAACTACTCAGTTGGTCTAATAAAAGGTATCACATCTAGTCAAAGAACCTTGCCTGTTCATTTATTCCTGTATTCTAAGCTTTTCCCTCTCCTCCTGAAAATCCTTTTGATTTCTTTCCTGATAAGCATCTATTTTGAAATCGATAGAATTCAGTAGAATCCACTGACTCTAATGAGTGTCGGACTAAGTGACAGCCACACAGTGATGGCTTTTAAAACATGAAAGAGTTAAGCTCTAAGGCTGCTACTAATGGCTAACACTATTTGTTGCATTTCCAAACTCAGCTTCAAGAACCAGGATTTCAAACACATTCCATAACATAAAAATCAATCACATTCTTCCTGCAACACCACAGTTTCCCCGTGCTCTGCCATTTTGCTGAGCGACATTACCCCTCTCTTCTCATGTAGCTAGAAACTGCCAGGTAATTCCAGATGGCAAGAACCATAGACACATCAACATTACTGAAAACATATGAATACTAAAGGGAAGTGTCAGTGTTGGGTGGGTGAGTAAAAAGGAGAAGAGAATAACTGGGTCTTTTGCTGGGTTGGGAAATGGCCGTGCTAGCTGAAATACGAGGACGTTTTAAATTTCTTCAAACACTCAAACCCAAACAGTTGCAGAACAAGAAGGAATGAAGGACACCAAAACAGCTAACCATATCAATGATACCTAAATAGATCTCCTAGGAATCACAAGACCTCAGAAATAATAAATATATTCTTTCTTCTTTCTTTCCGACAAACTTAAAACGGGTTAGAAAAATCTTTAGCTTCCCAGAAAGTTTATGACTAGTGCACAGGGAGTTTGCACAAATAATAATGGGATGCAGACAATATACGACTTTCAGACAACCAAAGCATATAAAATAGATTCTATTTTTTCAAAGAGCCTGAAGCCCTCTGGGCTGCATGTCACCTCTAAACCTGTTTTTCCACTGAAAGTTATTTTCTATGCTGCACCTTTATTCCGCATGAAAGTCAGGCATGTCATCAGGTTTGCTTGTCTTCAGATAATGAAAAAAAGTCTGCTTATAATAACCCAATGCTCTCATGCTTGCTTACTTTTTTAGTGTTATATTACAGCCTTGCTATTTGCATTTGAATGTGGATGTAGGATTCTTATGTAAGAGGCCTTCTTTGTTTAGTAAGGAAGACCTGCATAATAATGTTACTTTTTACAGGTAGGGGTGTTCCAGGGGAATTAATGTAGTACCGTGGCTCCTCGTTCTACTATGCTCATGGACAGACAGAAATCAGAAATGTGTTTCATATCTTGCTGAAGAAGACCAATCAAAGTCTTTCTGCTCTCTTGAAAGCAGCAAGAAAGGGGGTTTCTGACAGAGGTTGGGACTTTTCCTGCATTTTCCCTTTCCTATAGGCTGTCCTTTCAGCTGAAAGCCTCTCCACACAAAAGGTATCAGCCAACTGAAGGTTTTATTCTGCAAAACACAGAATGCTGGCAAACTAAAAACAAAGCAAAGCAAGTTACTATGGTATTTATTGTTAAATGAAAAATCGAAAACTTGCTATTGATATTCTATACTGTGCATACTGAAATATTGTTATTAATTATTTGTACTACAGTTGCAACTTGATGTCTCGTATATCGTTGTATAGCACAGTGGAGTTCCAAACCAAGTCCCTGCTCTGAGGAGCTTACAGTCTACATGGATAAAACAAACATGGCAAGAAAGAAAGTGTTGCTCTCCCCCTTTTAAAGGTGAGAAACTGAAACCAAAAAGGAGTCTGGCAGACTCAGGAACTGACCTAGCCTACTACCATAACCACAAGACCAGCATTCACCTTAAGAAATAAAGTCTATGATAGAAGACATTTTTCCCTGAACCTTCCATCTCCCTGTGTTTTCAGTTTCACATCACTGAAAAATTGGAAAGCATTTAGCTTAAGAAATCACAGGCATTTCTGATATAGAATTTGCATGACTCTCCTTAACTGAATTTCAACACCAATATGCATAAATCAAAATGCTTGTAAAGAGACAATCTGGAACTCTTTGAGTTTTGGAGTATGTATACCAGCTAACCAATTGGTTAAGGCTTTCCTCCCAACAAAATTACCCTGAAAGGTCAACTTAACAGAGCAAAACAACAAGTTTGATGGGTTTGTAGAAAAAGCAGGGGAAAGAATAGGAGGAAACAGTATAGGAGCTACTAAAAGGCACAAGAAACCTTCAATTTGTGTAGGAGATTAGGATCTAAAACAGGGGTGTCAAACTCATCTGGCCCTATAGTCTGGATGGGTAGTGCAAGGCTGGGCAACATTAGACTCATGGACCCAACCCACTGCCTGCATTCCTGATCCAGCACAGCTGGCATCCACCCGGCTGGTCCACGACACCAGCCTGAGTCAGTGCCACGTGCACTACAGCCTGGCGCTGGTCTGACTACAGCCCAGAACCCAGCCCAAGTGAGTGCCACAGGCAACACAGCCCGAGACCAGCCCTAGCATGTTCCATGGGCAGCACAGCCTGGGACCCAGCCCCAGAATGCTGTGTATGGCACATGTCCTAGATACTGTGCACAGGGATGGTCTGGCTCAGCAAAAGGGGCATCACTAGCAGCTGGATTATGGATCTCCATGGGCCAGATTTGGCCTGCAAGCCATATGTTTGACATCCTTGGTCTAGAAGTTATCAGGAACAGAGCCAATGAATGGCAAGCTGGGCAGCTAGGAAGAAATGTAGGACCTAATAGATTGGATGGTATATTACCATAAATACATATACCTAACACATGGCAGGGGGAGGGTCAATGTTTCAGCGTCAGTTCTGTCCTTTTGTTTTTTGGGGGTTTTTTTTGCTTTATTGGACCACTTTGGCCACATACAAGTGTTTGAATGAACCACAGGAAGTCTTGTAGTCTTGTTCTCCCAATCGAAAAACCTACCAGGAGAGCATGGGATAAACAGCAGAGGGGTCAGGTGGGTGTTGGTGTTGCCAGTGGTACACAGCCAGGGGGCTCCCAGCATCCCACCATGCTCTCAGGTCCCCTGGCTTCCAGAGAGCACTGAGAGCAGTGCACAAGCCAATAGTACACAGGCCAACAGTGTCTGGCTGTTGGCACTCCCCTAGGGATGTCCTGCTTACATCCCCCCCCCTCCCACCCTGTTGTGAGGCTTTTGGAGGAAACCCAGAGTATGTCTCCTCTCTTCTCAGTTGCAGAAGTGTCAATTTCTGGGCCTGGATTTGGGTCCTGGTCTGGATATTTAGGTCTCAAGGATGTGGGGATCTAGAGCAGTGGTCTCCAAAGTGGAGTGCACAAGACGATCCACTGGGGTGCGGGAATAAAATATTAGAACTTCTATTTATATTTATATAAATATACATATATTGAGGGTGCATTCTCAAAATTTTTTTACTGATGGGGTACGCTAATATACATATACTGAGGGTGCGTACTCAAAAATTTTTTACTGAGAGGGGTGCGCGATCAAAAAAGTTTGGAGACCACTGATCTAGAGGGGTGTACATGTCGGCGTTGTGGGGGTCTGAGTGTGGGGGGTCTAGGTCTCATGGTTCTGGCAGTCTGGATCAAGTGCAGAGGACACAGATATCTCAGCAGCCTTTGTCTCTCTGCAGGCCTAGTGCACAATCGCAGAGCTGGTGAAAGGGGATGGGCTTTCCTGGCCCTGGGGCAGTTAGAGGGAGGGGTCTGCTCCATGACTGGCTGGAGCAGCAGATAGAACAGTGAATTCCAGCCTGAGTGACAAAATGTCCCCCTGGAGTTGGGATGGATGGAGGGAAGTAGATGCTGAAAGACAGAGCTGTGCCTTCTATCTCAATAGTAAGTGTACACATGCACTCCTTCTCCTGGGAGAAATTCTCAGGAGCCATTTCTACTGGGTTGCAATTGGGTTAATTTTCTTCTGGAACTGACATTTTTAGTCAGGGAGAAAACATGTTTGTACACTTCGGGTTTCTAAACAAAAACTGAGATTCTCCCAGTAGAAACATAACACTTGCACATAGTCTTTACTATTTGTTTTCTTTTAGTGGCTTTGATCAATTGATATGATCTTCATACTTTTCTGAAGTCAGTCATTCAGGTTTATTTTCCATTGAAACTGGAAAAATATCTGGAACCTAGTCCCTGATGTACTATACTATAGAAACATCCCTGAAGCCCATATTACATCAAAAAACCCATATTACATCACTTTTCAGGCTTTTTAAGACAACTAGTCAACAGGCTCATTTACTTCTAGATGCTTAACTGATGTGGGCCTCATTAAAAATGGATAGTCACCATAGAGTGGTATTCCCTATATTTAGAATATGAAATACCTCAAATACTACAAGTAAATTTAACTACTGTGGGAGGTAAACATCCAATTTAATGGTCATCACTGCATTTGTGTGAAAAAAAAAGAATCTACCAAATGAGTTGTTTTAAATCCTGCTTAACACAATGAGTCAGAGACATTTTGAGATGAAATCCCCCTTCTGCCATTTCTTCCCAAAAAATCATCACTAAGACTAAATTTTCTATACTGAGCACTCTCTGAGAAAAAGTAATTCTGGCCTGGTTTTAAATGATCAAAGGATAATAGGCTTACTTACAGCTTGCCTGAAATTATCAGGATTTCTCTAGTACTTTTGCATATTTAATTGGAAATCTCTAGCATCTTTTTTCTGAGATTGTGAGAAGTTCAGAAATTTGGAAACACAGGAGCTGCCATACTGGAGCAGAGCAATGCATTACCAAACCCTGTACCCTGTTTCCAGTGGCCAATATCAAGCTGGGGTAACAAGCCATGAACCTGACTCCTACTTAGAGAGGTTTTCTCAAGCCCATACATCAAGGGTGGCTTATACACCAAAGCAGAAGGAATTCTGTCCCTTCCAAAAGCTATTGGCAGTTACTGGGAGTATGCTCTTCTTGACAGAAGCTTAGAAATGAAGCTTAACTGGCACAGAAGAAGGGCAAAGGGCCTTGACTATTTACAGAAAAAGAAAGAATGCTACCATACTTCTCCCAGTGTCAAAGAGTCTGCACGTGGCTAAGCTTTAGAAAGAATCCCTTTACATTTTGTTTTACATGAACTTGTTGGCACATGTATGTTATAAATCCACAGGATTTGGGCATGCACTGCAGAAGGCAATTCAATGATAGCAGTATCATTATACTAGCATAATAGTAAGATGCAAACGTTATCAATCTTAGTCAGAGGGCCACCCCCCTTCCTTTTCTCCTGCAGCCTTCTAAATTAGACTTACTTTATCCTTGGAAACAGAACTTGTTCTGTTTTGTTCTTAGAAATATCAAAAAAATTAGGATTCATATTCACCAATGTGTGCATTTAATATGGACCTATTTTTAGAAGCTGAGGATATTCACGGCTCCAAGAAATAGGAGATGCATGTGCTCAGCAACATATACCAAAGCCTGTATTCTGTACTCTGAAGCCTTAAACTACTTCCTTCAAACCCCATCCAAACCCTCCCCTATGTCAGTGAATAACACTTTTTTCTAATAATAATCAGTTTTCACCTACTAAAACCATTCAAGATAACTTTGTATGTTGTTGTTATAAATGTTGAAGGAAAAGTCCTTCCTGCTTCATTTATGCTGCGTCAAAGCAAAATGTTTATTCATTTCACCCACAGGCAGTAAAGTCATCTCCTGTGAAAAGAATGTGTGACATAATTTACAGTAATATATTTATGCACATCTCTATTAAACAGCTTTCTCAGCATAATAGCTCATTTTTGGACTTTAGAATGAAGGGATTTGTACCCTTTGTTCTCTCTACACCTTTAGCACTAATAACTAATTCTCACAAAACTTCTGAGGAGCAATACACAAAGATGTCCAAACCCATGAGGCTATGATTCCCTGTGTGTAACATCTAATGGAGTCTGACAAAGAGCCATGGAGTGTCCTGCCCCACATCCAATTAAGAACAGTTCTGCAGAACCAAAAGCTGGGATTGGCTTCGGGGCATAAATATTTGCTTCTGTACCATCTCCGCACATGCCATGTTCATTCCATCCCCATGAGAAACATTGGCTACCTAAAGAGAGAGGAAACAAGAGTTGAAATGAGTGTACTGGTCATAAACAGACATGGATAAGCAAAAACAGTTATTTTATTGAAGTCTATGTGATCAAACTGTCTTTTAATTGGGTTCTAAGAAGTTCTGCCTGGCTGGGGAAGACCTTTGGTGATTTCATGGAACTGTAATGCAAGAGAAAAAGTCATGGTCAGCTTGTTCCATCCTGCTTCTTAACAAGTAAAAAGAAAGAAGGAAGTTAAAATAACACAGAGATCTGGAAGTAAAATTTAGCAAGATGGTTACTGATTATTTGTACAGGACCATAAAAGTATGCTGGACATTCAATAAGCAAAGGAAAATGCTTCCAAAAAGCTTACAATGTAGGTTCCTCATTCAGTAAGCTTCTCCAAGCAGGTGGCACCTTGTTATATGCACTGAACTGCAGTGCATACAGGGACTGCAAAATGAGGGCCTTTGTAGACAAAGCAGCAGAGGAAGGAAGCAATACTTAAGTACCATCATATTTTTATTTTGATTTTCACTCTACACCTTGCTGCTTTAACTTCCTTTTCTGCTTACCCAAGTTCTTGATAACTTGGCATAGTAGTTATTTATGACACTTTCCTTATCTGCCATAACATACTTGACTAATTGGCTTTATATTTCCCTGCTTTCTATTATTACTATTTATTTCTTACTTCTTACTCTTTTTGAACCAAATGAAGGTCTATGAATGATTCTTATCCTATACTACCTAAAAATCACACTATGGATTTGAGCCTTTTCCTATAAAAGGCTGGGACAAGAGAAAAATCTTTTACACTGAATGACCAGTATATCCCCTTTTTTTTCCTTTTCTCTCTCTCTCTCTATCATGTTTCATGCTAACCCCCTGGGAGGGCCACATACTTTTGCACCTTCACCATTTGTTTTAATGTGTACAAAAAAGGGTTTGTTTTTTTTTTAAAAAAGTTTCTCTCATTCTCTTTTGCATTTCTGCAATAAAACAGAAATCTACTTTATACTGTATACTGGTTCTGTGCATACTTCAGCTACATTCTATTAGCCTGGTATTACAGTTTTCTCTTTTTTGTAAGTGCTTACTAAAATTAAAATTCTATTAAAATCAGATACATTTAAACTCCAAACGTTACTACATTATGTAAATTGGTTTTCCAGTAACCCTTAAATGAGATGACTAAGAGGACAGACACGTTTCTTTGGGCAAATCTGATATCTTTTATTAGACCAACTAAAATTTTTGGAAAAATTGTTCTTTACAAACACTGACAACCCTGATGACTAAGAGGAAGCATTCATAATCTCAGAAGGAATAAGCATTGTCAAAGCTGAATATGTGTTTTACTAACAACCTGAGCTCTAGTACAAGTGCACATTTGGGGTCCATCCATTTTGATGCAGTGTCTGCTCTGATGCAGAAAAATACAGAATAAGCAACAAATGTATAACATCCAGCCATAAGCAAAGATCATCGCCTGACTGGGCAACTAAGGGTACATAGGAATTTATTTGTAAGGATGAGGGACAGGTTATAATCCATCAACAAATGAAAATCAACTTATACAAGCTAGAAGGAGACATTACTAACGATGACAAACTGAGGATTTTATTACAGGACACTCATAGCAAACCCCCTTCCCCCAAAATACTCACCATAGCACCACAAACAACTCCTTTTAGATAACAGTGAAAAAAAAATATCTCCATCCCACCAAATACATATATTTTGCCGGTGCATGCTCAAAATTTTTTTACTGATAGGGGTACGCGAATATACATATACATATATTGAGGGTGCATACTGCACAGGCTGTTTGCATTTACATTTGCATGCCATCCTTCTTTTGATATCTACTTCAGCCTGCATCTGCTTCCCCTGACCTGAGGAAGGGCACCCAATGCCTGAGAGCTTGTCCAACAGCTATCCCAATAAAAGTTGGTAAAATAAAAGATATCATAAAAAAGCCTTGCCTCTTGACATTTCCTGGACCATCAGGATTACAACACTCCAGCCCTAAAAAAGGTTCATGCAATGTTGACACTATATGCATTCACTCTCATTTCCTCCTAATGCCTTTATAGCTCTCCATAATGGTCCCTTGTTTCCTACCTAGTGGCTTCAGGATACTCCCCTTTTTTGTCCATCTCACATTCTTCCTCTCTCTACTTCTCCAAATCCATATCTTCCGAAAAATCAGCCCAAGTTGATCATCTCCCCGTTAATTTCTTCATATCATCCCTGACCAGAACTATGACTGGACTTGTTTGTGCCTGTTTGGCTTAGAGCCAGATTCTGAAACCCTCACTCAAGATTAGTAATAAATACTCTTTGCTCTATGAAAATACAATTGATTTCAGCAAGACTGCTCATGGTTGAAGGCACTACTCAGTGAGTGCATCTACACATGCAATTAGCATGTAGCAATAAACTCCAGTGCAGTTTGCATTGGAGTTTATTGCTCCCAGGTGCAGTGTTTACACAAGCACCTGGGACTCCAGCATGTAGAGCAAAAGCAGAGCAGCCCTGGCTGGCAGAGGGTCTGGGGTGAGGTCAGCCTGCCAGCCTAGGGCTGCTCCACCCTGACTCAATGTGTTGTAGAGGAGCTGGCAGGGGCATGAGGGTGCTACAGTTTGGGGCTAGCTGGCAGGCAGCCCCCACACTGCAGCACCCTTATGCCCCACCAGCCCTGGTCACCATTTACACGTGTTTTGGTGCACGTAACTACTCCACTGTAGGACAGTACTTGTCCCGGACTACAGCTGAGTTAATTAATTGACTGCACCCTAATTCAGGCACACACATAGATGGTGACACTTTACTGGGGAGCTAACAAGTCAGGTGAGTAAAGTCAGCTGCAGTAAAGTGCATGTGTAGATGCACCCAGTGTAAACCACAGTATCTGAATCTGGCCCTTACTGTATAGGTTTCAGAGCAGGGATTATTTCTGGCCTTCCCTGTAGCCCAGTCCTCAGATGCACTTAACAACTTCAACAACAGGAGTCGCAGTTGCTCAACAACTCATATAAACAGACTTCAGGAGCATAAAAACTGTAAATTAATGTCATTGTACACATTAAGGAAGCAGGCTGTACAGTATCAGCCAAAAACACAGTTCATATGGAAAAATGGACTTAAACCAAAGCCATCTTACTGGACTGCCAGCTGCCCAGCTTTTAATGGGTTCAGGATTAAATTTGTATGTCTAGCTCAGCCTCTCCAAATCAATTATACAGCTCCTGCAGTACAATGAATATTCAGACATCGCTTTGGACTTGTTCTGAGCTTCTTCAATAGCAACACTGAAAATCAGAAGCTACTGGACCCTCATATCGATTAGTCCCTCTTAAGACATTCAAAATAATACTAAAAGACTAAGGCCATGTGTAGATGAAAGGAGGGGCATGCGTGCACAACACTTTAAAGTGGGTTAAATGCTTTTGCACCACTTTAATGGTGTTGTTGTTTGCACGTGTCGGCAACGTATAGCACAGTAATTCTAGCCGTTGTAGCAAATTCAGTGGCATAACGTGCCTTAAATGACTTGGGATGCAGCAAACTAAAACTCCTCCGAGAAGTTTTAGTTTGCTGCCCTACAGCTGTGAAGCGAAGCACCAGGCTCTGTGCACGTCAGGGGCCATGCAGGAAGCCCATACAGGCAGCCTGGCAGGAGCCCAGGAAGGCAAGTTCTGCTCAAAAAAAGTGGTGAGCCTGATCTTTTTTTCCCCTGGAGCCTGCCTGCCTGCCTGAGCTGCGCAGGGGCCTGGTGGTTCCCTCCGTGGCTGCAATGCCCCCCAGGACTGCCCAAGCCGGGTGCATGTGGGCAGGTGCTGCCTGGGGGGTGGCCACCACTGCTGTGGAGGGAAGCACCAGCCTCTCGCGCAACCCAAGGACTGCCATGAGTGCAGCTGGGGGAGCAGGGCGGGGGGCCGGGGGGCTTGTGCAAAGCCCCCCACACAGTGTGGGGCAGTGGGGGGCAACAGGGATTGCCCCCCACCTGGCAGCACCTGCTGAGTCGGGGCTTTTTCTTTCAAAGTGCTGGGAGCTGGGGCAGGCAGGGCAGCCTTTGCCAAGCTGGGAGACCACGCTGGGGATGGGCCTGGGTGATTCAGTTTACAGACACAAGAGAATCATATTGAATGAATGAATTAATTAATATGTGGATATTTTTCCACAAGCAACTGAGCCTCTGTACTAAGAGAGGTCAGTTAAACTTCCCTGTGCCTCTGTTTTGTCATCTGTAAAATGGGAAACAAAGTCACTCCACAGCTTGTACTATCAGGTAATGAATACTGAGGTTAGTGGTATCCAGCCAATCCAACTGAAGTAGAGGTGGCACCAAATAGCTGCATTTAAAAAGTTCTCTGACTCCTGGATGAAATCATGAGGAATGAGTTTGCAATTGTGTGTAGGTCACAAACAAATCTGAGATGCAAAGGCTGTCCCCAAACTTCTGCTGTTGTATGGTGGTCACAGTCTGGCAAAGGTTGTGACTCACAGTTATGAGTGCATTATATTGCAAGCTTACACTTTCCTCAAAGGAAATAATTACAATAAATAAGTCAATTGAAAAAAAAAATAGTCAGCATGCCTCCAATTAAGAGTAACTAATTAATGGTAGAAATGCAGATGAGAGGGAAGCATAATTAAGAATCACCAGTGCTTATTTTTTTTTAATTAACAATTGAAAGTCTATTGAATTTAAGATTCTGGAGAGATTAGAACAAGCAGCTTCATTTTGCTTGTGAGTTTAAATAAGAGCATTTGTTGCTCTCTTGGCAGGTTTTCATGGTAAGGGAAAGATTTTAAGATAAGCATTTTTCAAACTACTGTTTTTCTTCTTTCCTTCCTCCCTATTACACTATCCCAGTCAAAGCAAGGGTTACAGGTTTTCAAGATTTACAAGATTTCACTGACTATAGCAGTTTCCTGGAAACACTGATAGGGAGAAGACCGATGGAGGTAACTAATTCTGACTGATCTGTTTGAAGCAGGACTT